TGTCCAGGTTCCAGCTTTGGAATTTGCTGCCAAAACAGTGTGTCTGTCCGCCGCGTGAAGGGAAAGTAATGACTCTGCAAAATGTGGGGGCTGGGGACGTTGTATCTCCACCATCTCAGGGTTAAAAAGAAAGGAGCGCTGCATGTGCGCTTGCAATTATTTGTGCTGACAGTCCTGTGCGCGGCTAGCTTCCTTGCCTTGGTGATGTGAGAAGCCGTGTCGCTAAAATGCTTCTCAGGTAATGCACACGCAGCCCAGGATCGACTTCACATCCGAGACCGCACCTGTCACGCCAGCCCACGCGCGTGCCATAGACTGTCCGAGACTCGAGCTAGGACGATCTCATCGCACAAACCACAGTACTCAAAGCTGTGATTCACGCATTCACGCAAGTTGATAGTTCTGCACGGGAGCGTGAGAGTCCTGTGGTGGGCTGAAATAGCAAAATGCTCACAAGGCCTCGCTAGCAGCTAGCAGGCAGCACACAAACACTCCTGCACCTACATGCCTTGCAGGCAGAGCCACATGCTTGCGGCCCAACAGCGAACCTGTAACACGTCCCCTGGTTTTCAAGCACTTGCACAAGTACACACACGCGCAAGACCAAGCAACAGCTACGCAAATACTTCCCACTTAGACACACGCACGCGTGCACCTCGCTGGGCGGTTAAGCCAGTGATATATCGAATCAGGGCCCGACCTTGTTGCGCGGGAACGCTGCTAGATCAGCGGGGTTTGTTGCACACTCGCAAGGAAACTTGGGGTCCTGTAGACAAGCCAAATCCTGCCAGGCAATTGTCCCGACTTTCCAGCTTTGTCCAAGCAGACGTAGGGAGGTTTTGGCATTGCAGGTGTGTCTGTCCAAGCATGTGTCCGGACGCTTTGCCTGGATTTTGTAGCTTTGCGAGCCAAAAATGAAACCAATCTTCGTCTGGAACTGGTCATGCCAAGTTCTAAGCGGCGGCAGCAGTCACATCAAGAGCCAACAAGCCTCCGTCATCCGCCTGCACATTTATGTGCTCAACAACCAGAGGCGTGGGTGAAAAATCAAACGCTGCACACACTGCTGCACTACCCCAAAGTGCGCACTACACTGCTTGGTGAAAAACAGAACTTTGATCGCAAGCACCAGGCACCAGCCCTGCAACTTCCACCCTCTTGCCAGGTTACTCCGCAGCCCGAGGGAAAAGCCAGAACACGGGTGTTTGTAACAGCGGCGCAGCCAGAACCTACGCACACGCAGACAGAAAGCTGCACCAACTAACGCACGAGCGGTGTTCCTGACCAACCGCGAACACCAGCACAGCTAACAATGCACATGCGTTTGCAAGCAAGAAGAAGTATGCTTTGGAGAGAGAGCCGGCGTTTCTGCCTAACGGCCTAACGCGACGGGAACACCAACACGGCCATGCTAAATGGTTTGCGGCGCAGTCGTCCTTCACCAGCGAGGACAGCATGGGGTACGGTCGCTGCCCCATTTCAACATGGACCTCCGCAAAGTTGAATAGAGAGCAAGCTTCTAAAGAATCTAAAACTGTGCATGTGAGGTCTGAATACTTGTGAGCAATGACCTGGGCAGGCGTTGCTGAAATGCTTTTTGACAGAAACGCGCTGGAGGACTTGGTTTGGCGGCGTGATGCCATGACTTGGAATACTTCCGCTCTGAGAGTGGACTCTAGTTCGTGCACGACAAAGTCGCCCAAAGTCTGAAGAGTATTTTCTGCCTGGCACACAAGACAGTCAGCCAGCACCGAACACACAGAATCCCGGTAACTGCTCCACGACGGACCAGTTTCATGTCATGTTCCTAGATAAAAAAGCAAACATCAAGGTCGGCGCACATGCGCTGTGACACGAACGATAATCCAGCAGGAACCAGCTGGCGATCCCGAGCGTCTTCTACGGCTTCTAGCTCAGCCTTTCAAAAAACTCACCGTACACACATAGAACAAGTGCGCACTTGCTGTCACTGGCTCAGAGAGGAGCAACGTACCGGGAAGCTTTTCGGAACACTCAGCTCTTGCCCCACGACTTTTACACGCACCGTCCGCTTGCTGCCCTTGACACCGACGCCGCCAGTGTCGAGGAGGCCCGCCACCGGGAGCGACATGAAAGACATCGGCCAAGGTCTGGAAGTGTCACGACACCGTGCAAGAATTGAATCTGGAGTCTGGACTGCAGCCAGCGTCTTACCTATCCAGCGAGGATATAGCTGCCGGATCATCCAAAGCGGATAGAACTCGCGCGACAACTCCACCAACCTCTGCAATCAGAATTGGCGGTCACTCCACTGGCCCATCAGTCGCATGAACAGCAGCTTCCTTCGTGGCCATAGTGCCTGCACGCCATGACCAGCAAGACGCTGTCTGACGAAATGTGACTGATGTGACAACTCACTTACGTAACTCTGCTTTCACGATAACTCGAACACGCTTCAATGCATCCTGCTGTCAACAGTGAACGCATGGACAGGACACTGGCGTGACATGGAATCCTTGCAGACGTTATAATAGGTCCTGTTCACGGCGCTCATCTTGCACCTGCCATGGCCGGGACTGACACAGCTCTACCAAAATCCCAGTCCGAAATAGTGCAACTGTCTCAGACTGAACGCCAGCTTGCACACAGTTGACATGCGCACTACTGCAAAGGCTGCAAAGCACACGTGGTCTCTTCGGTCTCTTCATTTCTCTCAGTCGCGTCTCTAGACTCTAGTCTCGACATGCGCAAACTACCCACCTAGACGCCGTGACACTTCCAAGACGCAAACAGTTTTTCCTGACCTAGCAAGGAACAACAAACTCATGCAGTCGCAGGCACGTGAAATGACTGCGCAACGACACGTCATAGCACGCAGCTGCCGACGCAAAACCACAAGCACTCACAGGCTTACTCCGCAGGCGAGAAAGCAACGTCAACAAGTTGAAGTAGGCCGCACCGTGCGCGACCGTGCAGTGGGTGCACGCAGAGTGTAGATGTCATGCACGCGCTGGTGTCACCTTCTCCCCGTCACGCGTTTGTGGTTCCATCGCCCCTTTGTGCTCTCATGACCTGCATGATCCTGGATCTGAACCTGAACCTTTGACACAGAGAATAACCCCTATCTGTGGACAACGCCGCGAAGTCCCTCCCCGAGCCCTGCACCCTACTTCACACAAACCACCATGACAAAATTGCATCTTCTTGCACTCGCCTCATGCGTACTGATCAATGACGTGACCTGGCCATCTCCATTGATGATTTCATCACATACACTCTAATCTGCAAAGGCCAGCAAGGCACACCTGAGCATCCATTTTCGAAGGCGGATCCAGCTCCAGTTTCAAGCCTGGCAAGCGCTGCTCGTCCCCAGGCGGAACTGCTGGCCTCGCGCAAAGAGTTTGGGCCAACGGTCAATACGAACCTGGCGACTCAGGACGCCTAGAACAAAGCTCACCAGGCTGAGGATGCACTGTCAACGACACGCAGTAAAGACAGCATGAGCAAGCTCCACATCTGGAGATATAACAGTGCGGTTAGCACTCCAGACACAGGACCAGACACACAGTTGGACTCTTACGCAGCAACCCAGACCGCAAGCCGCAAGCATTCCTTTTGGCACACACACACACACACGGGCAACGGGCGGCGAGGGCGGGGTCGAAATTTTGGGATTGCGAGCAACACGACTGCGGGCGGCGTCGCTCGAACATGTCATTCCGCGCAAGCTATGAACCCTAACCAGCCGACTGACAGCATGCACATGCCGGAACATGGTGTTTGGCTGCCAACACATGCACTCACGTCTGGCAGAGCACTTTGTAAAGGGCCCTTCGGGATGCGAAAACAAGGACGGGGAGGCTGGGACTCTTTGAACGGAGCGCGAAGCAAAGAGGAACTCTGGGGCACAGGCAAGTGACCAACCGGATGTCGCAAGAGGCGGGGCTCATCGGCTTTGCTTCCTGGCATGGACACACGCACCACCTTGCCGGTCTCTTCCACGCAGGGGAAGGCCGCGTCTGGGCCAAACCCTGTTCTAGCAACAGGCCGGACGTCTGGCTCCACATCCGGCTGCACGCACAAGAGGAAGGCACAGCAAGCAACAAACAAACGCTGAAACAGCTGCTGGTGCGATGGGCGCACCGCAGCACAGCTGGAACACACAACCAGTGGCCTGAACACAATCACGGACACATGCGAATATGTAGCATTGACTGCAGGTCGTAGTTTAGGGTTCGTGGTGTGCGCTGGCCATTAGCCCGACCTACCCCAGCGCAAACGGCGGGCAGGCTTTCAACCGCGGTGAGCCCACCGACGTTGCACTTGCACAGGCTGCTCGATGCAGCTGAGCTGCAGAGGGTGCATTCTGCGGTGTGTGAAGTGTTTTGCATGCGTGGTGCGTGCAGGCAGTCCGCCACGTCCATGACAGAAGACAGCGCGAGCCAGCTATAGTCCAAGCGAAGGAGTTATCATATCACCAGTTGCGGAGCGGTTTTTATTGCAACTGTCTCAGGCCGAACTTCAGCCGCAACCTGCTGCAAACGCACGCGGTGCGACACGGCACACAGCTGCCAACGCAAAACCACAAGCACGCACAGGCTTGCTAGGTTTTACTTTCGTCTGGACAGCAGGCAATAAACCGACGTCAACAGGCTGAAGTAGGCATACCGCTGCATCCCGCTGCAGCAGCACAGGCAAAGTGGAACGAGCAGCAAACAGTTGCAATCAAAGCGAATATTATTGGTGCACACGGGTCGGGAGTGTTCGGCGCATGCGGTAAAGGGGGTTCAGGTAGGGGGGCAGCCTAGCGCAAGTAAACCCAGCGTCACTAACTAGCAGTAACTAGCATGCACATGGGAGCGCGACGAACAACTGCCGGACCAAATCATCAACAAGTTGACGCACGCATCAACAGTATCTTGAAGTCACCATCCGAGTCAGAGGACATGAAGCTACAGCTACCCTCGTCGACTTGGCGACACAGAACGAATGAAAGCAACACTCAAGGCCGCTGCATCCCTTTACATTGACGGAATGGCTCCATTCCGCAGAAACCAAAGGGACAACTGCGCACGAGGTGTTGGACTGGACTTTGTATCTGGGGAGGATGCGTGTGACAGCAGCACGTCTTCCCTGCATGGGTACACCACATCGCACACAGCTTCCAGTCTTACCTTGGCTTGCTTGCTGAGAGCTTGAGCATTGTCTAGCAGCCGGCTGCAATTCCCAGAATACGCCAGCGGCGCCACACATGTTAAGCCACCTTAATTGCAACCCAAATGACAGCACACTTTGCAGATCTCTGCAAGGAAGTTTACTCGTGTTACTAGTGGAGAGCGCACCGTCGAGGGAGTACCAGCCCCGAGGACATGGTGTCTCATATGACCGTTCACAATCGTGCACGGACCGGCAGGGAAAGCGAACCCCGCATGTGTCTTCAAATGCCCTCTTCTCGTCTGGCGACAGTCCCGCGAAGGTTTGACGCTTGTTGCAGAGTACATACTCTGCCGGAGCCCAGCCTCACCGAAATCACCGCTTGCCAAACGCTGACACTGCACATGCGTCTGCACACAATCCGAGACGATGCTGCACACTCAGCACGACCGTTGATCGAGGCTTCCCACCACCTGTACAATTTGGAAGGCAGCCAACGCTAACGATTGGGATTGTTTTGCTCAGCTCACCCAACAGGACACATGGCCGTGTAGTCGCGTTGACACGGCTGACCGAGGGAACGCCAGCTGACTCCACACCTGCCAGGCAGCATTCCCTTCTGAGGCAGCACGCGCGACCCGTAGACTTAATCTCTGCAGCATCGTACTCAGACTCAAATGCCGCCTTGTCTTCAGCTGTCCAGCCTGCCGCATCCATTGCAAGCAAATTCACCACAGCCTGTAGCCTTCTTTTTTCCGCGCAACGGGCTGCACTGCAACTCCAGCCTGCAACGATGGCCTGGCATTCCACATCAGCACACACGCCCAACAGCCACGCACACTTTGGACGTGGCCTTCTTTGCGCACGGCCCTTTGTAGGAGGGTGGGGCATTGCACACCTGTCCATAACCTGCAAACTCGCGCTTTTCTTGACTGCAACACATTGGGGACACGCTGGCTCTGCAGCTGATCGCCCTTGCCTAGAACCCAGCTTTCCGGGCAAACTTCATCGTAGGCCTTTGCTTCGAAGGGTGAAAGACATGGCCACCTCAGTTTACGGGGGAGCAGCCCAGGACGGCATCCACGGAAGGGCAGATCAACCAAATTATTTTCGGTAAGAGACCAGCCTTACCCCGCAGCGGTACGAGAAGGTGGCTTTGTCTTCGACAGACATGGAGGTTACCTTGGCTTCAAAACCCATGAGCGCGGGCTTGGTCCATTTGACATACACAGCACAAAATGTTGACTCTTATGGCTAAGATAAGCTAAGCGAAGTCTGCTCTCTGAGCAGCATGCGTTCAACTTGGGCAGGCAATCTCCAGCATACGTAGCTGGCGCCTTACGGCTCGCGAAGCAGGCCCGTGACAGTATGGCATAGCATCGCCCTCTCACCCATCCTAACAAGCCAAGACTGCCAAGCCTTGCAGATAGCGTGACGCGGCTCTGACCAACCTGTACGGGAGCCGGAGGTGTTGACATGTTGCCATGGACGCCTCCGACCAAGCTTCTCGCTTCATTGCGCATGTAATGGATTCGGCTTCCACGCGTGAAACCAATCGTGTCTGTCGAAGTTTGAACACGTCTAAATGCTGCAGCTGCCCGCAGATTATCGCAGATTTCCCTTGCTTTTTTCGCAGAGAACACGTCGAAGACGAGAGCACAAGCACACCAATGATTGATACGCGCACACCCCCACACACAGACACCCAAAACAGAGATCACCAGTCAAGCGAACGGTTCATCAGCACCTATCAGCACGAAGACGCAAATGCCTGAAGGACAATTTGCTTTCCAATCGACCTGGCGACAGAACTGGCAAGCTTGGCCGGCACAGCCCAAAATCGCTTTAGCTTCCCGGCGACATGACAGCTGGCCTCGCAGTCTCCCTGGCAAGGGAAAGTCCATGCGCAAGACCGGGCAATCGCCTTCTTCTGCTCCAAGCTCAACGATGCGAAATTATATTTATCTGCACATCCTGCTCGTAGCTGCGTCGCAGTCGTGGCAACGCAGTAGCTTCCTTGTCTACGGAACGTGTTCGGGCAGCCGGAATAATCACGACTGCACGCCAGCGGCCCATGTGGAAGCGGCATCTCTGGAGTTGCCAGGTGTGAAGAGCTCTTCATAGCAGAGCGAAGCTCTTCTTCAATAGCTGCGCCAAACGGCAAGTGTTGCATTGACAGCATAATTTGTCAGACCAAGCGAAATACATGGCGCAGAGAACCAGCCTTGCTCCTCATCGCTCCTCTCACGATCGGCTGCATCGAAAGCTAGTTGAGCTTTCATAAATTTCTGTTTGAGGCGCGCCTTGCACGAAAAAGGCAGCTGGTGGCGGTTGTCCGGAAGCCTAAAACCGTTGAACTTGCAGCATCAGCTGCCTTGCCATCTAAACCGTCAGCTGGCTCAGCAACTTTGAGCGCCACAGCGCTCACTGAACCGGCTGAGTCGTCAATTTTGGTAATGGCCTGCGTGGACAACACTTGGGCCCAGGGCCCGGTATCAAACATGATGCACACAGCAGCAATATCAGTACATGGAGGACTCTCCTAGCGAGGTGGGCAAACCTAGCCGGACCTAGCCGGGACCTAGCCCAACAATCCGACCGTGCTGTCTACGCATAACTACTCACTATACTATACTTGACACCAGACGGACATGCTGTGTGCGTCAAATAGACAAGCCCCTCGAATAGTTCTCCAGCAGCTTGCTCTCGCAGAGGGTATAGCGTAGGTCGGGTGTGGGCCTCCATGATCTGACTAGCTCGGTCGTCGATCATCGGCATTGCAGCTTGCTCTGAGCTCAGGTCGGTGAAGTAAGCGAACTGAAAGCTGCCCGCCGCGGAGCGGCAATGCAACAGCATCACAACTGCAGCCGGCAACAACTGTCGGTACATCGACATGACGAAACGTGGAGCTCAGGTGGAGCCTGCCAAAAATCTTCGCAACTTACGAGAGCAGTGTTGTGACCTTTGGAGCCCTCTGACGAGAGGCGGGAAAGCACCTTGTTTAGCAGACGCTGATGCAACACGCGAAGTAGCAGTCCCAAGTTACTGGGCGGACGCGCCTGAAACCCTTTAGCAGTATCTCGCCTGCCACACATGTTGCAAAAGCCGCAACAAGGTAACTTTGCGGCCTCACGCTTCATCGTGATCGTCTAGTCCAGTAGCCATACCCGTTCATGTCTCGAGTGTTTCCACACACAAACTACCCACCCTCCAGCCCATGAGCGCCGTGACACTTCAAAGGTGCAACAACTGCGCACAAGACGCTGACAGGGATCCTATCGAACCCTGACCCTGAACTCAGAACACAACAGGCACATCAGTCCCGGAGAAGCAACCCCCTGACGAGAAACCAAGCACGACCACAGCAAGCGACGCTCTCTCCTTTTGAAGCTGGTGGTAAGCACAGCCAGAATCTACACTGACCACATGGCTAAAACAGCTGCTTAGCCAGCATGGGACATCAGCTTAAGAGCTGACAAACGGCGCATCAGCCGCACGCTGACAGAAATGTATCCCATCAGCCTGACGCTGACAAACGGTGACCCCCTGCCAAGATTTTTGATCGGGCAAGGGCGGGCGGGAGATCGAAAATCAGAGCGGCTCCCGCACTGCTCCCGGTCTACACACCGGTACAACCACAATCACTGTGCTTCAGACACACAGCAGCAAGTATAAACATGCCGCACTATCCAGGCACTCCGCACTCCCCAGAGACTCCCTGGCCTAGCTTGCCTCGCGACACACGACAACATCTGCATGCCACCACTCCCGGACACTGCAAAGACATACAAGGACACACCCTCCCTAGCAGAGATTCTATCGGATCCCTCTTTTCGCCCCTCCGGTTCCTTCCGGTTCGACCCGCGTCTTTCCTGGACTGACAAAGAAACTACAAACTTCCCGGACCCGATTGGGGCGGCGGTGGGCTCAAGAGAAAGTCAGGGAAAGTTTACAGCTAAGTGACCTACCCGAACCGAGCTCAATTCTGGGCTCTAGGCAGAGCAAGAGCTGCAACCATACGAACGCTTCGCACACTTATGGTACACTCCGATACGAGACGCTCATGCTGCTGCGCTTCGCTCCGCACATTCCAGCGAATCATCAAGAAGAGCAACTTTGGTAGCAAATTGATGAATGAAGTGCTTTCCATCCGTGCATGGGCAGTCAGAAGATCCGCCCCTTCGTGTCCACTCCGGGGCGGGAGGGCGGGAAGAAATAACTACACAGGGATTCTTACGCAGACAAGAAGCAAGCGGACTGCAACCTCCACAGCGCGATGAGGCCTTGTCACGTTGATAAGGGGAAGAGACGACCCAGGGCCAATGACGGACAGTCCAGCGAAGCTATGTAAGGCAACAGATACGGCCCTACATTCCTTACATGAGCAGGCCCTGTTACAAGGTCGCAACGAAAACCTCGTCTCTAGTCTCGACATGTACAAACTACCCACCCTCCAGCCCATAGACGCCGTGACACTTCTATGACTCTATGACACAAGTGCACACGCTCCTTTGTTCGTGAATGCGCAAATGCCGACAGTCTTTCCTGGCTAGGAACTACAAACTTCCTGGAGGCGATTGGGGCGGCGGTGAGATCAAAAGAAATCCTACGGCTAACATACCTGGATCTAGCTCTAGGCTCTGGGCAGAGCCGGAGCCACAAGCTGCAACTATACAAACGCTTCGCACACTTATGGTACATTATGACACGAGGTGCTGCGCGTCGCTCCGCACTGTCCAGCAAACCCCCTCTCACATCCAAGGTTTTCTGTGGGTGTGGAGGGAGGAAAACAGAAAACTTGGAGGAAAAAAATTCTTCTGCTCACAGCACTCAAGCCGCTGACTACGGCTACACGTGCAGCAAATATGTTCAATACGCAAAACGTGATGAAAGCTTCCACACTGCCACAAGGCACTGAAGGGGATTCTTACGCAGACAAGAAGCAAGCGGACTGCAACCTTCATTTTGCCCCACAGCGCAATGAGGTCTTGTCACGTTGGTAAGGGGAAGAGACGACCCAGGGCCAACGACGGACAGTCCAGCCCGAGAGAAGCTATGCAAAGCAACATACGGCCCTACATTAGCAGGCCCTGCTACAAGGTCGCAACGAAAACCTAAACCCCCCTCTCACAACCCAGGTTTTCTGTGGGTGCGGAGGGAGGGAAACAGAAAACTTGGAGCACATCTGATGTGAAACAGGATCTCTTCTGCTCACAGCATTCGAGCAGCTGATTATTCACTTGAGCCTCATGGCCTGATCTACTCTGACTCAACCCAAGACACTCATCCGTGCACTCTGCAATGACTCACGCAAGGTCACGTCACACAGTCAAGACTTCATAAACTGCCCTAGCAGCCCTAGCAGCCCTAGAACACATGCACTCGCGCTGGCTCCCCTGGTCTGCGCACTTCTTGTTTTCTCGCATCGGTGACGATAGGGTATGTCTGTTCGTCCTGGGTCAGGGTGTTGCAGCCCTGAGAGGCCTGGTCGGATACTTTTCGCAGGATGATCCACTGCTGGAGAAGGCGGGCACATGCCCCTCGTCCGTCCCTTTAAATTGTCTCCGCCCCTTACAAACACACACGGGCACACGACAGAATGCAGCTGGCTGCACACGCAGCATAGCTGCCAGCAGACCACACTCTTCCATCCCGAGATGGCCACGTCGTCACTTGGTTACTTGGGGCCGAGACTGGCTTTCTCAGGGCGTTTTCTTGTGAAGAACCGCGGTCGGTTCGGCGCATCACACACACACAACTTGCAGCCGCTGCAAGGTGTGGACTAGTGCACAGCAACACACGACGCCTTTGCATGTGAGTGTTCGCCAATAGAAGGATCCAGCACGAACTTCACCGACTCACCCACTCTGGCAAGGGCAGCTCACGACTCAAGAGCAACATTGACATCAGGTTTGCGATGACAAATCGCGGCGACGCTGACGGCAGCAAGCAGCAAGCATCTATTTCTGCCTCAGGACCGGCACTTCCTACGAGGCTATCCTGCGGTTATGGGAGCATGGCCCACTCGAGAACGCAGCACCAACTCAGAAATGGATGTCCCCATCCTCGGCACCCACACACAGCGACAGGTACAGGGCAGGAGACCATGGTCTCAGCATCAAGACAGATTGTCCTCGTCCAGCGGTCCCGACACATCAAAGTCCCTCTGCTGCGCCAGCGGGTGCTGAACCTCGGCATCGCGGCCTCACCAGGTGCACAAGCTTTTGATCGAGAACCGCGTTCCGAGAGGTGGACACAGGAGACGACATCGAGACAAGCATTCCCTAGTCTCTGCTATACCCTGCTTGCCAAGAGACACAGCATGCAGTCAACGGGTTCTCCGACTCTTTTCTAAAACGGACGCACGTGAAAAAATGAGGGTCTAGCGGGTCTAGCTAGCGTGGAACATCGAACTTCGACCCTGAGGTCTGAGGGTAAACATGTCAGTTGGGCTCGTAACAACACATGCACAAGCCGTTATAGCAGCATATCATACGCTGCATCACTGTACCAGACACACACACACAAAACAGCATAAACTTCTTGCAAGAAATCCAAATCACATCTCCCCCACCCCGTGAAGTCGTGCTGTTACGTCGGCGGTTGCCGACGTAACAGCCAGCCCAGAGCCTGCGCAGCAGATATCCGGTCGTACGAGCGGACACTGGCGAACACCTTCACTTGCTATAGTCTTTCCACGTACCAACCACCCACCCTCCGGCCCACCAACGGCGTGACACTTCAAAGGCGCAACAACGGAGCACACGAACTTTTGTTCGTGGTTCTGATCGAGATTCCGGCATGGAACCCCAAAACTCCCGGAATCGACTGGGGAGGGGGCGGTGGGCAATTCTTTCTGTCTGGGAACCTACTCGCGCACCACCTGCACTGCAGACCCGGAGTTTTCGCACACCAACACAATACATACCGGCAGGACAGCTTTGGCGCTCCACACACTGACATAAACATGGAGTCTCCGAACCCTTCCTTTCCCACACGTGCAACAGGAAAGAAAGGTAGCGGCAGCAGGTCTTTTTGCTGGATTTGTTCCGAATGGTGCATCAGCGCACCCCCAGCACCCATAGCGCGGGTGGCTCGGAAAGCAACTTCACGAAATCTTCCCTGTACTTCAACAAACCAAACCCCAGCCCAACGAAGCACTCTTTGACATGTTTTGCTGAATGGTGGTCGGTACTCCAAAGCACAAAGTCTAGACAACTACTTAACTACTTGTGAAGCACGACAACTAGCGAGGCGCACGCGTCCCCCTGGAACCTGACACACTCGCCAGGTCTAGTCGCACATGTTCCCCCCACGGCCTCATTTTTTAAATGCTTTCCCATTGAGCGCCCTCGAAAGAACCGCCCAACGCCTGTGTCCTTGCATGCGAGTCGGGTGACACGACTTCGAAGAGCGATGATCACCATGGGGAGTGTAAACACTGTGCAGCACAAGCCCATGCTCGGGATCATCGCGAAACTATTTTATTGCAACTGTCTCAGACTGAACGCCAGCTGCACTCAGAAGAGCAAATGCACGCGGTCTCTTCATTTTCCTCTCAGTCGCAAGACTGGTTAAGTTGGGGCAGCGCGGACGGAAAATGATCTATCGGACCGCCCATGCTCGGCACGGGTTGTCCATTTCAGAATGAGGGAAGGTACACACCACCCCCCCACCATTTCAAGGGCGGGCGGGCGGGGCAAAACAAGAAGACACCAAGTGTTCAGCCACACAGGCAACCGCTAGAGCATTCTCTAACACCTGCTGGCCTGGACATGCATCAACACGCATCATCATGCATCAAGGACACATGCAGCACGGCAATCACAACAGTGCGACACAACACGGCACGCAGCTGCCGACGCAAAACCACAAGCACGCACAGGCTTAGTAGGTTTTGCTTTCAGTCAGGACAGCGGGCAATAAAGCGACGTCAACAAGTTGAAGTAAGCAACAGTAGATGCAACTGCATATTATGCGCAGTATGATCACACGTTGCATGGAAAGGATGTCAGGAAGCCAAAGTCCGACTGACAGAGCCCCTCTCTTGGGAAACGCAACTGGGATGCATGGCTCAATACAGAAACCATGAAAAACATCCCACGGCCTCATTTTCGAGGGATGTGGAGGGCGGGAAAATCGAAAATGGGCCGAAGTCACACTAAGCCGTGCCCGACAAGTTAATGTCAATGTGACGGTTGCATTGAACACAACAAAAAACCATGTCTAGCCAGAAAACACACTAGCTCTGCGAGCCGAGTTGTTGCTGCCATGCACGCGCATCGATTCAAAACACTTTTCAACAAAGTGCAGTACGCCCAGATCTCACTTGCACCCCGCGTAAGTTTGTTTGCAGCAACCGGATTCGGATGTTACTGTGCTACAGCTTCTCCGTCGGAGCTTCAGCGAGCTGCAGCTCACACAACAAGCAATCATGTCACAGGCAGGAGAGGGAGAGTTACGAGTATTGCCGACCCCAACCAACCGCCGCCCCTGACACCAACTCGCATGAAAAATCTTCCGAGTACGGCCTCACCGCACACAACCCACCAGACCCAGAACCCACGGCCCTGCTGTGGACGGAGTCGCTGACTGGCCCTGGCCTTCCACGATGCTTCCGTCAGCATGTATCGGCCCGTTGCGACGAGGGGCTGGCCTGCTTCACCCGCCAACTATCCAATCTCGCTCTGGACTGTTCAAAGTGCTTTCACGCATGGCCTGGGTTCCACATTCCCCAAAGCTATCTTCACGGCTTGGCTGCAGCCCCATGTGACCTGCAACAAGATGCGTCTTTGGAAAGTAAGCCGCGAAGGTGACCAATGCGGACAAAGGCACATCACACTGCAACGCAAAGGTGCGCTTCTCATCCGCAGACCAGCCGGTGGCATTGATTGCAAACTTTCAACACCAAACGAGTTCACGCAGACTGGGCACAGCCACATTTCACATTCCTCACGCAGCACCTCGCAGCCTGGCTTCGCAGGGAAGTCAGTTTGGCCACCTGCGTGGCACAAGATATGAAATGTTGCAGAAAGGCACATCGCAGTGACACTACTTCCGCTCTGTGTTCAAGCCGGCGCATTCAGCCAGGCAGCACTCGCAATCACAATCTCCCTTTCTCCATCGGGCGGATAGCATGTCCCCTCTACAATCTCACACTCACTTAACATATGCGGCTTTTTTTCAGACGTTGGGATTATGTGCACACACATGCGAATAACCAAAGAGTCCTCCAGGCTCCAGTGACGAGGGCCCCACTCTAAGTGCTGGTGGAGTGGGAAAACAAAGACAACTGCACAAGCTGTCGATTAGCAGTGTAGAAGTGGCCGTAATCAGCACAAGGTTTACAAGGAAAGGCTGAGGACAAGCCACCGTCACACCCACTGCGTCACTGCGCAGAAGCAAAACCGGGCAGCCACAATATCTATCAAGCCGTGTCAACATGCTGCCACACGCAGGAAAGGGAGAGTCAGAGTAGTTCTCAGCCCCTAAGCCCCAGGCCCTGCCTACAACACAGAGGCCGCTTGCCGACCGCCCCCATCCGTCAGGGCAAACGGCTGCGAAGTCATCGGTGCACTCTGCATCGGCACAAGGCCAGGACAACCTGCCGCACACAAAGGCGCAGCAGCGATGACTATTGCACGCCTCCGCTGCTACATGAACGCACCTGCATCTTTGCATGAGCAACTGCTTCTCCGAGACACCTCGGGTGAATTCTAAAGCCCTAAAGTTCTTAAAGCCACCTCGAAACACCGCGACCTCGACCCTCCAAACTCCACAAGCCGTCATGACTCCGGGACCCGGACTCAGCAGGCGGAAGTCATATGCTTTGGCGCACGCGGAGGGGAGAGCTGCTGAATCGCCACCATCTGCAACTTCGCAAACCCCTGTTGCATCCTTGGCCCGCCAGCCTCCAAATCCAAGGATGAGGCATGCCCGACGGGATGAGCACTCAACTCAGAAAGGATATCATGACAAGTCCTGCTGGACAGCCCTGGAAATCATGTGGACACTGCCCGAGGCATGGCCAGGCCTGTCACAAGCATCGCAACACCCCTTGGACTTCGGTTCTGGCAGCATTGTCTCAGGCACAACCAGGTCACAGTTTTTCACCAGCTTGCTTTTCTCAACCACAGTGAGGCCGCTCGCTTGAATCCTGCGCAAGCATTGAGGGCGATCTTTCGCAGCATGGGGTTACTACTACTGCCTACTGACTGGGAGCGGTAGCTGAACACAGGCTACGGCTACACTGCCTACCAAGCAGCGACACGCCGACACATGTGCAGGCAGGACAGCAGTCCTAGCGCACGGCCCTGAGAACATCAGAACTATCAGGCAGAGTATCATGCTCATACAAAGCTGACACGCAGGCCTCTGTACGACGCCGGGGCCTAGCACGCCGCACCACCCGGTGACTCAAACTGAACCGATAGAGAACCTTGATTTCGCACGTGGCATGTTCCACTTGATCGCAAAGTCCTTGGCACAAGACATGACATGGCCCAAAAGCAAACCCCATGTAGAGAAACAGCAAGAGGTACCAAGTTTCTGGGCAAGCGAAGGTATAGTTCGGCTGGCAGGCTGCGCTTCCATCGTCTGCACAAGCATGCAGTTGCGCTTGAACGGATGTGTAGTAAGACGAACACTACGACCCGATTCCAGTTGCGATTGTTGAGCAGCAAGTTGGTTGGCCCTGGCCACGACCTGCGGTTACATCAGCATTGCGCACTGTCATGCTGTCCGCTTCCTGTAATCGATTCTGGTGAACCTCCGTAACTTGCTCGTTGACGAGGGCTTCCGGGGCGAGCTGCTGTCGCAAGGCTTGTTGTTGTGAAGCCTGAAACAAGGACCATTCCGCACCTGGACTGGCACGACAGTTCTTCCACAGCCACGCGCCTTCTCCTCAGGCGCCCCTGCCTCTGAAACCTTGGCAAGGATGATGCTACAATTGTGCTACAGTCAGGAAAGCTTCAGCGTCCAGCGCCAGGCAACATGCGAAGGACGTAAGCAGCAGCAGCAGCACCACAGCAGCAGCAGCAGCTGCTTCTCACAGGCGTGCAAGACACCCTCGGGTGCCCGCTGAAAGCAGTACTAGTTACTAGGTGCTCCCTGGCAGCCCTGGCATCAGTGAGACAAGTATGGCTGACACCCTTCAGCGGCGCGGCAACTGCCTCTTGTGTGAAAAGCGACGTCTTCATCCTACGAGTTTACAGCTCAAGCTTCTCACAATCTTCGGTAAAAAGAGATTGCACAGTCCCCAGAACATGCTTCCCAATTTCTCATCAACCTCGCAGGTATCCATCCTAACCTAACGCCATCTCAGTTTCAATTCAGGATGTCTTCTGCCACGCGCGAGGCAGAAGGCGCTCCTGTTTGTTGTTGCAACGGCCGCGTATTTCTCAGCGGCGTGAAGTGACGGCACATTCCCACACAGGAAGAAGCCACAGAAAGAACAGTGAAAGAAAGAACCCAGCGGACCCAGCGTCCTCCACTTTGTTACGATGGCACAGTTAATGTCGCTATCAGATCGATTTTGTGATCAAAGACCGCTCATAGCTCCACGCCGATCGAGGCCAAGTCGCACAGGCGAGTCGAGTCGTGGCCGGCAGTGGAACACATGAAACGCAAAACACATGCATCTCTGCACAACTTCCTGGCAGAAGCAAACCTCTACAACAAACCATCCTATTCAAGACATGGGCACGCCGAATTGGAGGTGGGCTTTCAAAAGGCACCTGCCCAACCCGAGCTTGCCACCGCTGCGGAAAGGGTCGCAACTGTGTCATTATGCGCACGGGCGCACTACATGCACACAATGCCTGCACCACAACGGCCACGAAGGCGTAGGGCGTAGGGCAGACGCTCACCCAGTGAGTAAGCTCGGATCTAGCTTGTCTACAATCGGTGGTCAAATATAACTGAGGTGGAGAGCAAGAACGAACACTGTTCACCTAGCCTGCCCGAAGCGCAAACCAGCAGCAGTACCGAACCGAAACACACCAAAGGTACACGACGAACAGCCTTACATGTTCTTACGCAGTGCACGAAATGACTGTCTCTCTTTTTTATTGGACAGACATGCCTGTAATCCCTAAGCAGCAGAAACTCGCCGGGCGGGCAACTAGCAGCACTAGCACAACACATGCACATGCGCAGGCACCGAAGCCACGCACACTGCACTCACTACGCAGAAGCAACGTTGATCATGCCGGAAATAGTATCACATGCAACTGTACAGTGTACAGCACTGCACGTACATGTGAGAGGCGGGTGTACGGCCAAACCCAGCCGAACCGGTACACCAGAACCAAACCCAACCGAATCGGCACACCCAATGCCTTCCAGCCCAATGTGAAGTTTGAAGGAGGGTGGGCAATCCATGCAATTGCAGCAACCATCCACGCAAAAACGAGAACCGTGCTCACAACTGAAGAGGCTGACTTGGCTAGGCTCTGCCACCCCCCCCGCCACATTAAAGCCGCACAACAATCTCGGGTTGCACATCCGTGTGGCGACTTCGTTTAGCCACCTCCAGTCAAGCATCTCACACATTCTCACGCAGGCACGATGGACATGTCTGTAATCCCTAGGCCCTAGGCAGCAGAAACTCCTTCCGGGCAGGCTGGTGGGAAGATCCAGGATGTCACTGTAGCAATGCAATTGCGCCACCGCCGGAGCTCTGTATATCACACAGAAGCACTGCTGGCATCAACTGCAGCAACTGCAACTGTACAGCACTGCATGCACCTGTCTGTGAGAGACGGGTGTACTGCCAAACCCAGCTGAACCGCTACACCCGACACCAAGAGCACGCGCGACTTCTCGGGCACCGGCTGACTCAAAAAGCAATCGCCCCAACTGGCACGAAAGCGTGCACACACACACACATGAGAAGTTCCCGATGCTGGGTAAGGGTTCGAGTCCGAGCCTCTTCCCCCAGTCTTCCACGTGGCTGCACACCAACAGCTTCGGGCAAACAAGAGAGAAGCAGAAATGCTTGCACCAGCATGTCTGTTCTAGCCAAGTACAACAAAGATTCACGAGTGTCTTTCAACCTCGCTTGCTCTTTGCGGCACACGAGAACTTCTGCACACCGCCACTTACCGAACGGAACACTGCAGTCTCTAGTCTTTCCGTGTGCAACACCTACCCTCTAGCCCATGAACGATGCGATTGGGCACACGCTCTTTTGGACACGCTCTTTTGGTCGTGGGACGCGCACATGCTGTGGGCTCAAGACAAGATCTACAGCTGGGCCACCTACCTGGGCCTAGCTCTAGTCTACGTCTAATTCCTGGGCAGGGACCTAAGCACATGCTTCGCAACGGCAAATTCCGATATAGCTTAAAGTGCTGCGCTTGACTCCGCAAAATCCAGCAAGACGAGCTTTCCGCACAAGAGCTAGATCAGCTCGATCTCACACGCCACCCAGCAATTTCGCCCCCCGGTTCTCTGTGCGGTTCGAATCGCACAACCCAGAAACCAGCGCGCTGACAGAGCCGCGACAGATGCACGGCACGCAGCAGCTCACCAGACTAACACTCTCGCGAGCAATTCCAAAAACAAGAATACTTTACCTCTGCAAATGCACCAGACATGCTGAAAAGCGCGATCAGAACAGCGCAAGCACCGAACGGTCTTGGCGTCACAGCCTCATTTGCTGAACAATGCATCTTCGCATCTGGCAAATTTTTCAGCTATCCGACAATGACAACCTCGCAACTGTTGCCT